GTATACTTTGTGGGTATGTTCTGTTATGTACAGCTAACTTGTGAAATGGCAAAGCTATGAGTAACATGCAGCTGTTTAATGTCTTCCGCACTCACCTTTTCACTGAGGAAGGCCTCAGTACTAGCATGTAAATTGCTTAAGATGTTGTCCTAATTAAAGCACTTTGTGTGATATTGTAATTATATTAAAGACCAGTTTTTCATCATGACAGAATTTTTTTGTACACAACTCATAGGGTACACTGTATTTATGCTACATGTACCTGTACCTTTGCTTAGTTGCTCTCTTTATGTCCACCTTTCCGAAAGTGAGAAAGTTTTTCTCATTTGGATCATTCATTTCACCAGTTCCTTCCTTTTTGGGGTTGCCTTTTAGCTGTGGAATACCTCTCTCTGAATTATCTGAGTTAAAGAAAGTGTTAATCATTCATGCTCATCTGGAGTCTTTGAGTTCATTGTAGGACCTTGGATGATGGTGATTAATGTTAATCATATAGTACTTTTCTTTGATACTGTTACAAAAATGTTACAGTACATACATTTACATTCAGTGTATTGTCTCAAATCAAATCAAATTGTATTTTACTTTGCATGTTACACTTTTTGAACAGGTATGCTAGGAAGCATTTTCCTCCAGCAAATGTTGATGGTACAATGACAAAGGAGATCCAGAGAGCCATGGCTTTACTGGCTTTCAAACCAGGGACCAGCTGCTCTCCTTACAGGGTGAGTTATAATTCATCTCCTTATTTTTACATGTACAGTATATGGATGTCCCCTTGCAATGTATCTTTTGATGCTTGTTACATGTAAGTTTGTTTTTTGGGTTTTATTTATTTGGGATTCTATGCTTCTGCCCATTTTTAATTGACTGTCTATCCTGTTAATCTCTCTTTATCTACATGTATATGTCTGTTTATTTGTTTGTCTTTCAACCCATCTGTTTTTTTTTCCTTTTCTGTTGCTGTTGTTGTAGTGTTCATTTATAAGTATCAAGACAGTACTCATTGTGTAGTATTTACATGTAGGTTGAATTTAGACAGAAATGATTTCAATCATGTATGTACATGTGGGGACAATGTAGTACTCCTAATCAATTTGTTAATGCTTTTAAACTGTGTAAACTGCAGGAAGATGCAGCATGAAACCATTCAACCTGAATTTCATTTAACCTACAACCTATACCTTTATCATTTCACTGCTGCTTTAAAAATTAATTTTTCAAGAACTTGATTTATCATTATGATAATTTAAAATGATCTCAGATTGACTCTTTTTCTGTGCTTTTGAGAATTCAATCGCAGCAAAGTTCATTGAAGCCTCTCTCTTTGCTGTTAGCTTTTTCTTTCTTTCTTTTTTTTTTCTTTTTTTTTTTGTAGTTGTGTGTTTGTTACTTTTTTATCCTTGAAAATACAAGTATTTGTTTATCTGCAGGAATTATTTGATCTGGAGAGATGGGGTCAGCTGGTGATGCAGTTCAGGAGAGAGAATTTCCAACTTCACCAGCTTAATGATCAATCAGCTTTGGCTGTCACATTGCAGGCAGGATTGTCTGCTCTCAAAACACCGTATCTTTTATACCTTGGGTTTATGGAAGAATAGCTTTGATGTACAGTGATATTGAACATGTAAGCTGGCCATGCATGACATATACAAATATATCCTTGCCTTTTACAGGATAGGCTTTCAATTTTGAAGTGGCTGATTGGTATGTGCAGGGTAGTTTTGTTTGTATAGGCAATAACATGACTTTGAGTGTAATTTGGTGTTAATAACCACAGGTAAATTTTTTCAAAGATAACAAAATTGCACAAGCCTATAGGGCAAGTGCAGTTTGTGGTCTTTGAAAAGTTTACAATTGCCTATTACACCAAATTGCAAGAGGAATCATGTGATTGCTTGTTCATAATGTACATGGAAAAACATCGCAGAAAGTTAAGACAGATGCAGAAATTTTGAAAGCATGCATGCAATATTTGTAATTTGCACTTGTGTTACAACTTTGCACTGGTGTTACATGAGAATGCACTCATTTCAGCCAGTCAGAAGCGCATAATTTTTACATGTACGTCGTTACAGAAGCCATAGCTGTATAGAGTTGATCCTCCATGTGAATGACTTCCCCCACAGTGCCACCATTTTTTCAAGTTGTACCTTTTTAGGCTGTCCATGTATTTTCTTGTAATTTTGTTATGACCTCCCTTTAACAGCCACATCTTAACCCTTTTACTCCCATTAGTGACCAAGACAGAATTTCTCCTAACATTATCAATACACTAATGAGCAGACAAGTGATGAGAATAAAGAAAAATATAAAATAGGGGAAATTGGTTGATCCCATGCTAAATTCTCTGAAGTAATATCATTCAAATTATTGTAGAGCAGTAAGGAGAATTACTAATTAGATCCTAGGAGTCAAAGGGTCGACAGTGCTCTCTTCCGTCTGTCTGTATAGTGGCTACTTCAGAGATTTAATATTATTATAGTTGTTTATAAGAAATTTTATACCTCTGGGAGATGTTATGTAATTCTTGACCTACACATTTGTCAGTCACTGTTATCAAGAGGGCCACAAGAGCTCTGAGTGTCCTGTCTGTAGTCACCCTTTGAACATCTTAGGGCGTCCTCTTCCGTACGCCCACTGCGCTCAGTCCAGGCTGGTGTGCCCCATGTCAGGGCATATCATGAACGAGAACAACCCTCCCATGGTACTTCCCAATGGATACGTATATGGAGAGAATGTAAGTTTAGATCCGTTTGTGATTGCGTTTTTTTGGTTTTTAACTGATTATCTGCCGTCTGAACACAACAATCGTATGAACTCAGAGGTCAAGAAGCAAAAAAAAAAAAAAAAAAAAAAAAAAAAAAAAAAAAAAAAGGAAAGGAATACTTTGTACAGTTTTACATAACATGACTTACCGCTGACCACACTGCTTGTCTTTGAAAACGGGCAAAAGAAAATTGAAACTTAATAGAAATCTGTGAAGGGATACGAAAGTAGCGAAAAGGAAATTCGAGACAACACAAAGCTTATTCAAGTACGGGTATCCTGTTTAATTATCAAAAAAGTTAGACGCTTATAAAACACTGTGGCTTACTAGCTTGTGTGGTTGTTTGTAACTCGTGTGAGAAAACTTTGCTCTGAAAGCCTGAAAGCGCGCCACCTAGTCATTACATCGTTCGCATACACGCAGGCGTTTGACCGATGTGTCTATGGCTGGGAAGAAGAATTGTCTTTTGAAGGTTCACGCGACCTTCCAAGGCTAACAACCATGGAAGCGGTGTTCGGCCATTTATATGTACAGGTAGCATCCATGAACTTCTGGCTAATTCATGGGATGTTAGCCTCCTTCTGTATTTGTTTTAAAAAATTTTGAAGAGACTATTTTTATTCATTAATGTTTTGGTTTTCCCTCTCTTGTGAAGGCTTTACGGGGGATGGCGAACGAAAACGATGGTCGCGTTACTTGCCCTAAAACGAAGGAGACTTTTCGTGTGGATCAAGCTGACAAAGTTTACGTTATGTAAGCAAAACAAAAGAACCTTCTCCTAAGAAATGTCAGGAGTTCCATCAAATTACAACGTGGCTTTGTAATGCTCCCGCTACGTCGCCTTATTTGAAATAATTATAAACTCATCCAAAGAACAAGGTTTGAAGATTTTCGTGGAGGAATGCTTTGACTTGGGAAGAAAAATCATTATGTTAAGAGCCACGCAAGTAATTTTACTTGTGTCAACAGAAGTTCCTCCCGTAAAAGCTTCAAACAGCCTCCTATAGCACACGTGTTATGAGTTTCAATGACTTTTTCCTTAAGCGACCGCCTATGGTGTAATAGGCGCCTCTGCCCCATAAAGGGGCCGTATATGGTGAACTCAAACATGATGGCCTACTCAAAAACAAGTCTAGCGGTAGATCACCGGTTACTGGCCTTTATTGGAACCTCTGTATATGATATGTCGGCCTGACTTTTTCGTGTATTTTTCCCTCGAGCTGTGCTCTTAATTGTAAAATGGTTTGTTATTATGTTTTTGGCTTTTTATTATTGTTGCGATCATCTTTTAAGAGAAAAAAAAATAACGTGCGAGACTTGTTCTTGAGCGTAAAGATGAATTTGCTGGTGGAGAGTATAACACGAGCAGTGTTTAGTTGAAAGTCATATTTGATTATAGAGTTCTTAAGATGTAGTAACCAAAATTTCAGAAGGAGAGAAAGATGAATTGCTGGCGAATTTTACACGAGCAGTTACATTTTGAAATTCTTCTTAGAATAAGAAATTCTCCAGGTTTTAAAATAACCACCTTTTGCAGAAAGGAAAGTTAAAATGATACGGGTCTCAGGAGGGTGGCATTAACCGAACCTTGAAATTGTGATATCGATTGCTGTTGACACTTAAAGATAATTTCGTCTCCAAGTTGTATTTATGCTACTCCATTTTTGTAAGATTTAAATGAAAATTGAATCGAGCTGCTTTATTTCAGTTTGGGTGTTGACCATTCTAGAAACACATTTGAGTCTGCCATTATAAAAATTCCCATTCCTTCTTAAAAATTTTAATTTTAACCGCAAGTTGTTACCTATCTACTTCCTCTCTTTTTTTACTGACATGGAAAGCGTCGTAACGATACAAATTTCTTCGAGGGACATAGTGGAATGAAATAATTAGGCGATGCAATTTAATTAACCAAAATTCCCGCTCAAACTAGGGTATGTATGTCAACGGCTATTGTCGCTGTTTCATGAGAGGCGATGTTACTATTTTTATGCGCTACCAAATTAAATATACATACAAGTATTCAACGGTACATGCACCTACGCTTTATTTGAGAAGGTCACCAAGAAAGCTGCCTAGGTCTGATGTTGAAAATACAATCGTTTTCTTTACAGACCTTTTTGTTAGTATTAAATACGAGCAAATCACAAACTTAAAAGAAATCGACTGATTGTTGTTAGAGGGGAGTTTTTACTTAAACCTCTTGAAGTACTGCCACAATGGTTTATTCTCTATACTGCTCTCTGAATTTCCTAAGATGCTGACAAAGAGAATTTGTTTAACAATCAAGATCCTCATTAAATGGCGATCATCTTTCTTCTCACGACCCGAAAATTGACTTTAGAGAGATACTGTAGACAGAATTAGTCTCCTAGTCATTCTACAAGGTTAAGGAACAGTGGCAAGCGTTCAATGGGTGTACAGCCCCCATGGGTCTTACTGTGTTATAATGTTCAAGCGACAGGGCCCCTACCTACAAGCGGAATAATCTGTATAGGACGTGAGGCCTTAGTCGAAGCATTCCCTTCCGGTATAACCGCGGGGGGTACTCGACACGGCCTGCTGGAGCAACCAAACGGTAGCAGCGCCAGCATATGCCTCCTGAAACGGTCACTCTGCCAGCTGTATAACACAGGATTGATAGCTGAATTAAGAGTGACCAAGACGATGCTTGTCATGTGTACGGCGGAGTACAGTTGCTGTGTGCTGAATGAAGAGATGACGTACACTACCAGGTTGGGTATCCAACAGATCGAGTAAACCACGCTTACGGTGACCACTATCCGAGCAGACTTTCTGGTGTAACGTAGCTTGCTCTGTTGGACCATGGTCGAGGTAACCAAAGGACGAAACCACAGCTTGTAAACCAGCTTAGAATACAAGTAACTCATGATGGAAATCGGTAGGACGCCGTACATTACGGCGCTTAGTGGGCTGTGAACTTGCGTGATAGTCGCTGTGGGCCATTTGAACCGGCAGGACTCGCTAACAGGGTCGTAACGTGCATACAGGAAAAGGGGTAAGTTCCATAATGCGGCGAACGCCCAGCTGAATACAACAACACATTTTAATTTGGCGGTCGTTACCCGCTTACGCACGTCGTAGGGGAATTTAATGGCGAGATAGCGCTCCAGCGCTATGAAGACGAGGGAGAAAGCGGAGACGAGGGCTCCGACCCATATGAATGCTCCCCCTGTGAACAATTGGCAAACCACGTCACCGGCTCTTCCCTTCGGATGCTCCAACAGCAGGGGGAAGATAAAGCGCGCCGCGATGAAAATCGCTACAGTTATATCCGAAGCCGCAAGGTGGACCAAAAGATAGTTCATTGGGGTGCGCATTATTCGGTTACGGTAAACTACCAGGCAAACCAAGGTATTGCCGATGAGGTCCACAATTACCAAGAAGCAGAAAGCAGCAGTGATTCCAATTTGGGCGCCCTCTGAGTTTTTGTAAAAGGACATCTTTGTAGCTGTATCTCTACTCAAGAATGAAAACACAGCCTTACGTAAGTGAAATATGTGGCGTGCATGCAACTGAAAGGTCAAGAAGGAACAGCTTTTTCTGGCATACGATACTCGATACGAAATTTCAGATATTGGACTTGGCATGCGCAGAAATATTGAATAAAGGCAAGCTATCGTCTATGTGCTTGTACTTGTCAATCCATCTTTTTATTCAAAATACTTCACTCAAGCTTATATCATATTCTTAATCAAAACTGAAGCAAAATTCTCGATTTCAGGCGAATTTGACCACTGAAAGGACAGCGTGCGCTTCATGCTCGTGATTGGACAGTGTAGTAGGTCAGCACGCATCATGTACGCACGCTGTTGTGGTGCATTTCTTGGAGTCAACTTTGTTGCTGTTTTTTTTTTAAATTTATTTTCGTGAAAATTTATTTTCGACCGAGACTTGGATCTCCTACGTGTATTGGTCCATCCTTTCGATATGTGACGCACATCGCTCTCAGTTGGCCTTCATTTCCTTCATATTGATGAAGTGTTTACTCAATCAAAGTGTTC